TACGGTGTGCCTGATAATTCTGAAATACTTGAGTGTCTGATTGTTTTAGACTTGAGATATACATACGATATAGAATGTTTTATTCTCGTCAGACACTGAGAATTACGTATTTTCCTGTATTTTAAATACAAATGTAAGCGTGAAGTACTGTCATAGACCCTCTCCTCACCCGAAACATCCTCACTTTATCGCTTGACACACTATTTCCCATAGTATACGACTATGGGAACTGAAAATAAGTTATTATCGTTATTCATTTAGTTGGGAAAATTTAGTAGACATTTCAAACTAGAATATTAATATTCGTTTTTCATGTAAAACTTGTTACCAAAAAGGGTAGGAATGTAGATGTGGTTGTGTTGTGATGTACATGTTAACGTGAAAAAATGAACAATTGCATCGATCTATCTGTACATCCACTGTACAATATAATGTGATATACCGATGGATAACATTGCAGCAAATATATATTTACCTATTATGATTTCTATAGCTTGAGTGTATTTGAATGCATACGCGATACTGTTTATTATCTATATAAATTTATTAAATATTGCTATGATAAATGCAGAAATGAATTTTTTTTTTTGAGTCTATAAAATATTGAAACTATAACTCGAAATTTTCTTTTTCAATTATAATTTAAAAACTTATTTAAGTTTTCTCATAAAATCTTGTTAAGACAATATTTATTCGAATGCACGATAAAAGATTCAACATAACATTGATGACAAACAGATTTGGTTTAATTGCTAGAAAAAAAAAAGAAAACAAAAAAAGGATGGCGAAAATAATATTATGTGTTGTGTTTGTTCGACAATGATCTTTTATTCATTATGCAATTCTGAAGGAGCCGATGGTACTGATCGATGATGAATGTCCGTATCATCAGTCGTTGTTGATTTTAAATCAGGATATAATTTATTACTATTGTCACTTGGAGACTAACAAAAAAAAAATCGAAAATTTTCTTTTTATTTTTATCTTAAAAATAATATTTTGTTGTTCTTACTTTTGAAGTATTATTGTTTTTCTTTGGCATTGGACATGATTGAGGCATACGAATACCAATTTTTTCTCCAAATTTTTCGATTTTCTCAGCCCAAACTCCTATTTGATCACCAACTATTTTTAATGGTGGATAATATTGACAAAGTCTATCATAAATTGGTTTTATATAAGGTTCAAGAAATTTACACCAAATAACAATAGCTAAACCAACAAAAATGCACGGTACGCAAACCATTTTCTTTCTTTTTTTGTTTTCTATCTAAAATATAGATTTCTGACTAAAATGATACAATTACTTTTAGCTAATATTTTTTTTTGTAAAATTTCTGAACTTCGCAGAGTTATTAGAATAAATATCTGATGTAAAAAAATCATCGAAATTTCGCTGATTAAAATTCTACAACAATTAAATATATTGTTTAATGGTTTTTTTTTATCGAACTTTACACTGATCATTGATTAGATAAAAAACTATTGTATTTTTCTGCTTTATATATATATATACATAGTTCATTGTTGATGTATTCAGGTAATGGTGCTCATGAATTGTCACGTATCAAGATAATTAGAAAAGTTTTACCCATAGTATATGAAAATACATTCGTTTCATCAAAAGAAGACAGTTATTCAGAATATTTACATCATCTTACAGATCGAAATATTTTTTGAAATGATTCAACACTAATAATATAAATGTAATAAAATGATTAACTTCAGTATCATAATCTTATTCTCATTACTTATTGTAAACAAAAAAAATATATATATGGAAAATTTCAATATGTTACATCTGATTGAAGATAATTTGGTATCATGTAATATTAATGATTTGTTAGAAAATAGTCAAGTCTAAGTCATATTCTTGCAGGAAAATATTTAAAAAAACTATCGCAAAGAATATTCGAAAAACAAACATTCAATTATAATTAGAGGTGTAAGCCGTACAGCTGGGTCACCGTTGCCATGGAATCGTAGATAATTTTAAGATTTTTGTTAGGAGCCACTGCTGCGCCGCCGCCACGAACGAAAATTTTTGATAATAGTCTAAGGCACTCCGCCGCTGTTTTACCCTCGAATTATAATTCGATGATTTTTCTTAACAGATTCTTGTTCTAATAAAGATATGAATCAATAAATTTTTCTGATTATATTTAATATGATATAATGTAATTAATCTAGAAAGAAAATATCATAGATGAGAAAAAGAAAGAGATTGAAATGAAAATAGTAGTAGATGATAGTCATATAATTTCCATCAAGATTTAATATATTGAAACTTTCGATCATACAAGAATTTATTTTACATATGAAAATAATAAAGCAAGACAACAGAAAAAGAAGAAAAAACATTGTTTATCGACGATATTTCCATTTACGAAAATGAAACCATAATTGAAATATTCCATTTTGAAAATGACATCGAAATCCATGTTTATATGAATAATCCCATTCTTTACTAACTATTTTGAATGCAATATCCTTAAAAAACAAAAGAAAATAAATATTTATTTTAAATGTTTATTTTTATTTTACTTCATATGGTGGTCCAGCATGAAATTTAAGAATTGAGAAATCACGATTATCTTCACAAACAGTCTTTATAAAAGAAAATATTAGAATTCAAATGTGAAAACAAATAAAAATACTTACAAGACTATACGATGGTGTTTTTGTTTTATCAATTAAATCAGGATAGAATATCTAAAAAGTAAATTCAAAATTTTATATAAATTCTCAACTAATAATAACATCGAAGTTTAAGTCAAATTTTTCTTTTTTTCTTCTTCGATGGCCTCAATATTTATTCGACTTTTTCTTAGTTTTTACTTGTCATACAATTAAAACAAAAATGAATAGAGACTTTTACACTAATTCTAAATATGATATTTATTTCTTTTAAATTTAAAATTTCGATCGTCAAAATTTTTCGAATTCATAGACGTGTTAAACTCAAGAAAAAGAAAAGGCGAATGAATGAATTTTGAACAGTTGATAGCTAATTAAAAAATATCTTACATTAAATTTATATCCTTGAACAGTTTTCGGTGGTGGATTATCTGTATCATAATGTTTTTTATTATATTGATTCCAATCATAACCCTAGAAAAATAATAATTATTTCATTTTAAAAAACGAAAATATAAATACATACAGTATGAACTTTATTAAAAACCCGAGGTTTACGTGGTCGATATTTATCTGACCATAAATATTGAACATCCATAGGTACAACAGTATTAATAAGTGAATCATCATCTGTTAAACTTCCCATACTTCGAGCAAAAGCTTCAAATGCATCTTCAACATCAGGTTTAACTGATCCAGATTTAATAACAGATTCACGTTGTTGTTTTAATTTTTCCCAATCATCTATTTCATCAGTACAACGTTTTTGAATTTCCAAATCAAGATCATTTATATTAACTAATATAGGTGAATAATGACCATGTTCATATTCACGTAAACATTTATTTTCTAAATCTTCATTTGATTCAATATCATTATCATTAAATATATTTAATTGATTATTTGTATTATTTTCATTATCTTTTTTTTTTGTTATTGTTGAAGAATTTTTTAATGATATTGATGTAGGTGCATGAAATATACCTTGTTCTTGTTTTATTTTTTGTAATTTTCTTTTTAATGTTAATTGATGACGATCACGAAGACGTGCACGAGCCATATGTGCTTGTAATTGAGATAATAATGATTCCCAATAACCAATATCAATACCTTTTTCATTTTCGATTTTTAATCTAAATTTAATAATATTTATTTATCAGATTTTTCTGTTTTTAAACGTCTAAAATAGAATGCGCAATTAATTCAAATCAGGGTTGGAACCGGTCCGGCAAACCGGTACCGGTCCGGACCGGACCGGTTGAAGAAATCAACCGGGCCGGTAAAGACCGGAATTTCACCGGTTGAAATTTTTCAAAAATCTTCTTTGTTAATCCTGTCTTTGACCATAAAAACTAAGGTATCACATGTTTTTTCTGCCAGAATAGGTTAAAAAGTGCTCAAAACATATGTTATATTAATCGTTTTTCCTGAGGTTCTCTTTAAAAAGATTCATTATGATGAGCGTCTTTTACATGCGCCTTAAACTATTTCATATTTGGAGCGATTTTTTCTAAAAATCGGTTTTCAAAAAAAAATTCGACATTTTTCCACCGGTTTTCACCGGAATTTCACCGGTTGGACATGTGATTCCAACCGGCCGGACCGGACCGGTAGGATTTTTCAACCGGCCGGACCGGACCGTTTTAATATTTCTCAACCGGCTCCACCCCTGATTCAAATATCAAGGATATAAAACAAAAAACATTGACTACCTGAGTAAAGACGTATTTCTCAAAATGTGTTCAGGCACAGTTTTCGCTTGAACATATTCACATCTCATCTATAAATATAGCTTTTTTTATCTGTGAAATGTTCAAAAAATTTCCTTTTTAATATTGTTTTACATACAACACGAATAAAAATGATACTTTTTTTTATCTTCACTAATAAAAGTAGTTAGTTTTGATGGTTTTCTAAACGAACATAAAAAAACTCAAAAAGGAAAAAGTTGTTTTAAGACAGAAAATAAGAACTACACTAAAATTAGTCAAAAATTCTTATTCTAACTAATTGTATTCAGATTTAATCAGTCGTGATCTTTTAGTAGTTCGAACAATGAGAGAATATTTTATGTGAAGACTTTCACGGTATAGATTACATGTGTGTACGAAGGAACTTTTACCTAAAAAAAAACCTATCGACTAAGTCTATGTGTTATGCTTTTTGATTTTGTCTCATACAAATTGAAAATTTTTCAACGATTTACAAAATGAACATACTTAATACGTTGTTCTAATTGTTCCAATTGTTGTGGTGTTTTATTTTTAAATGTTTCTGTAACATCTTGAAAAACAGCTGTATTAATACCTTCACGTCTATCATCAATTCTTTGATCATGATATAATTGTGATGATAATTTTCTTAATTTAGCTAATTCATCTTCTGTTATTGTTGTTATATCTTGCCAATATTGTGCATCATAATAATTTGATTTAATACCAGATTTTTGTTGTTGTTCTAATTCAGTATAAACTTTAATATCAGCTAATAAATCTTCAAGATCACGTATTGTTAGACCATTTAAATAAGTTGATGGTTCATGCATTTCAACAGCTAAATCATCATCATCATCATTAATATAATGAGCAAGAAGATCAATTGGTTTAGCACGACCATCAGTTATACGTATTTTTGAACGAAGACGTACTTGATTATAATGAAATGAATCTTCTTGTTTTTCCCATTCACGATAATATTCAGCTTCTTTAATACGTTGTAAAAATTCTTTTTCTTTTTCCATTGCTTCTTTTTGACGTTCACGTTCTAATCGTTGTTTTTTTAATTTTTCTAATTCAATCTTTAAATTTCAAAAAAAAAAACATAAAAATAGAATTTTTTTTTTTTTTATTTTTTTTTACTTTATTTTCTTCGACACGTTGTGCTGTTAAAATTTTAAGATGTTCAGCTGGAACATCAGATAAACCTTTTTTTTCTAATTTTTTTGTCCAAACAAATGTTTCAAGTAATTTTTCATCCCCATATGGATTATTTGCATTTGTCATACCCTATAGAAATAAAGTTAAAGATAATGAAAAAAAAACAAATCGAAATATTCAATACCATATGTTCAGCATCCCAACCTAGAGCAGTTTTTTTCTTTTTTTCTTTTTCCATTTTTTTAGCTAAACGTCGTTGACGTTTTTCATGTGAAGTTTCATAAACTTTTCGAAGTTCACGTTGTCGTCTAAATATTTTAATTAATTAATTAATTAATGATTATTTATTTTTTTTTCTTACTTTTTTTCTGCTCTCATTGCTTGACGTTCTTCTTCAATTTGTTCCATTGTTTTACCTTTATTTGTTATTTGTTTTTCACGATATTCTTCTTCATCAGTTGTTGTGGAATTATTATTAGATGATGATGACGAAGATGAAGATGATGATGATGACGATGGTGATCGGCGACGATCACGACTTCGATCTTTATTATCATCATCAGTTTTATCTTTACTTCGATGATGATGACGACGATGATTTTTTTTATGTTTAGAATTACCCATTAGTTTTTAACTATAAAGAAAAACAACAAATACGCATTTCAACATCAATTTTAATAGTTTATCTGTAATTACGTATAGATTTATTGGATTGGATTATTATCAAGTAACAATCAGATGATGAAAGAAATTATAAACAAAAAAAAAAAAAAAACAATTATTTATCTTTTCAATTAAATCAAAAATTTATGAAACAATGAATCAAAATAATAAATAAAATAATTTATTTATATTGTATATAGATGTCGCTTAGAAAAATAAAATCTTTATTGAAATAAAATTTTTCGATACATTTAAATATTCTTTAAAAAATTCGTATAATTTTCTTGAAATTTATTCAATAGACAAATATTTATTTCAGTAAAACTGGCCGGAAATAACAAATCAACAACAACAACATCATAGCTAGCAAGAGTAACAAATAGGATTAACTTTATAAAATCATTCTTTTTTTTTTTCAGTTCTGTAATACGTTTTACACGTAAAAACTCACTTGTTTGATCATAGAAAAGAAGAAAAAAAAAAAAAAACAACAAAAACATTTTTCTATGTCAATTTAGATATGCACGAATTGAATTGAATTCCTCATTATTTTTAATCATCGAGCCATGATTATTGGTAAAATTATATTGACAAAAAAATTATTTTTCGTATTCATATGTAAAAAAAATGTATATTATTATTCTAAATGATTAAACGTGTTCATGCCATCATCAACATCCTCATCATCTCTTCTATTTTGTGTTTTAGTTAAAAGCGCAAATATCCAATCATCTGACAGTTTGTTTTATTAATAAAAAAAAAAACAAAAAATGACATGTTTTTATTTTATTTTTCACATTAGATGAATGTTATTCATATGTTGTACTTAAAATTGATAATGTTAAATCTACAACAACTGTAGTAAAAGGTTCACAACCAAGTTGGGAACAAGAATTTTATTTGTAAGTTAAACAAAGATAAATTTTTCACTAGTTTTTCTTTCGAATTTAATAATTAATTTGATATTATTCTAAGAATAAGAATTTTTAATTGTAATATTTGTGAATGAAAACAAAAAAAAAAAAAAAATAAGATAACGAACAATTATAAATCTTTTCATGCATATAATTTGAAAATTAAATATTAATAATTTAATTAGATGAAATTATTAATAATCTTTCAATTCATCGAAAAATCTTGAATATATTGATATTTAAATTTTATTATTTTTAATTCATTATTATCGAAATTTCTCAAGCAATATTTATGCTTCACTGATGACTAGACAACAAAAAAAAAAAAAAAATGATGAATAAGTACATCATGTTCCGGCGGATGTCCCAATAGTCCTTTCATTAGAAATACGTCGGTGAAATTCTGCTATTGATTGGTCTCAATCAAATGACTTTCTATGATAGAATTATTGATTAAATAAATCAGATTTATAATATTGTTTGATGAAATCACATTAGATTGATTTTTTGTAGACTTATAAAAACCTAATCATAATAGAAAAATCATAATAATTTTCTAAAATGATTTAGATTATTGAAATATGATATTATTGTCTGATTCTTCAATTGAATTATTTAACTAATATTTTGCGCTAGAATTAAAGAAAAGTGAATGTAAACTCAATAACAGCTATAGACAGACACCTGTAGTTTTCAACAATTAAACGAGGAAAACTTTGAGCACTTTTTCTTTTTTGTCTGAAAAAATTAATTTAAAATCTACTATATTAGTAAAACATTGAAACAAAAAAAATGTACGAAAACAATATTTATTTTCGACGAAATTTTGATTTAAATACACGCTTCAGATAAAGGTACTTCAGATATATAGTTTAAGGCACAAATCAGGTGATTATATTCTCAAGTCAAAATGCTCGACAAACAAAATGACGGAGGCATTCAGACAAATTCTATATACTTATGTTGATTTTTATCAACAATAAGACGTTTAGAATTACCGTTGTTCAGTTATTAAAATTAAATCTATTCCTATTCAATTCTAAGGGCGAACATTACTGGATGTGATAAAAAAAATTGAAACATCGAATATTTTCTAAATATCTCATCTAAAACAAATCATAGAATCTCAGATTTTTTTTTTCTAAAAGTTACAAAAAACTATTGGATTTTTAGAAAACTAAAATAAAACATATATGAAACATTACTATGTTTCATTATATTGGGAATAGTAAAAAAAAATGTTTGTGATAATTTATCTCTGCACAGACAAATCATGAAAACTTGAGTGCCTTTTTTTTCTCTACAATAATTAAAGTGAAACATTCTTCTGACTTACGATAATGGATTTAGAAAAGAAAAAGAGCTATAATGCAAGATGTATAAGATGATCTAATTATTCATCAGAATTTAGTATCTAAACAATAATCGCATTTGACATTATTTTAATTCTTTGTGGCGATTTTCGAACATTGAGACAATCACATTTAGTGCCTACCGAGTTGTTTTACCCAGATCCGGTTAAGTCAGAGTCCGAAAATTTTGAGCCCGGTTGCCTTAAATCACATTCAACAATAAGTTTTTCTTTTTACAATAGACTTGATTTAAATCATACACTTTCACTTTTTCGAATATTTATATTATTGTTCGAGTGAAATATTAGAGCAACTCGTATATTTTCCAATATGGTTCTCTCTCTCTCTTTCTCAATCTATTATCGCAAGTCAAAAGAATCTTTTACTCGAACTATTGATATGTTTTATTTTGAGTTTAATAAAAATCCATAGGAACAAATTAAAAGGATCTTATTATATAGTTTTTTTTTTAAAGCATTTAACAGTACATCTTTCGGGAGAACATGGAAGCCTTTATGATTTTAATTTATAAATATATTTGAATAATATTTGATGTTACATTCATTTGGCTTGCTTCAGTGTAACATGTTTTTTGCTCGTTATTTATATTTTATGCTTAAGATTAGCCTAAATGTTTCATTGAATATAAATATATTGATGAATGATAGAATAAGAATAATTAATTTCATACAGTTGATAAATCGTTTGAGTATTTTCAAACGTATTTGGTGTTATTATCATGTCATAGAATAAAATTTAAGAATATTTATAAATAAAGATTAAAAAACCTTTTAGCTTACTTTTTTTTTTTAATTTATTTAATCGAATACTTTTCTAGAAAAGAAGATTATCTCCAATGGGATTTTAAGACATCTTAGAAATTAATATCTAAAGCAACTCATAAGGTTATATAATCTTTGCCTGTTGAGAGAAACAATTATTGAGAATGCAAACTTTCACAACAATAAATATACTCAATGAATTATTAATTAAAAAGAATGTTCATAGTTTATATGCATAGTAGAGATCAAAAAATAAAACGAACAAATGTTGTTTTTTTTTATCGATATCAATTGTTTAAACCAAATCGAAATAATGTTTTGAATAACAGCTAATGATATTCTCTATCAAATATATTTTATACGCTAAATTTCATAAGTGAACAATGAGAAGAAGAAGATTTCTGAAAAATCAAACATGATAGGTTTCAAGTCTGAGAATACAGTGTGAAAACGTTTCATGAAGATTACTATCTTAAAGAGCATAAAATCCTGAATAAAATCAAGGGTTGCTGCATTTTCTATGATTTTTCCTTAAGGGGGAGGGTTCCCCTCAAAAACCAACTTTGTTATTTTTCATCCGATTTCAACCAAAATTTCAGAGGATGTTAGTCTAGGCTAGGAAAGATTATGGTTAAAATATTTCCCCTAAATCTCCAATAAACTAATGAGTTATAGTCAATTTATTGGTCAAAAGTACCCTGTACACGGGCATGAATTTCACAATAAGGATACAAGCTACCAAGCCCGGGCGGTTTTCAAGTTGTAGAGTATCCATAGGGCCCGATTTTTGAATTTCCCTTTGTTTGTTTTTTAAAAATCCTTTTTTCGTAAAATTCACGAAATCATGCCCAAAAAATTGCTACTAAAAAATGAAATATCTAAGGTTTTTATTTCACCAAAAAGAGGAATTCAAAAACCGGATCCTGGGAGAATCTAGCCCTACCTGTCTACTATGCATTAAAAAAGAATATCATCACTTCTATATTGAGTCATTATGAAGAAAACCTTGCCGGCATAAACGGTATGCTCGACAAATTTGATTTTGAGAAAAACGAAAAACAAAGTTTTTTTGATGCAGTAAATGTCTGTATTCGAAATAAATCTGCTTATCTATCTAATATTTTTGCACTATTTCTCAAGCTTTATTGATGACATGTACATGGATATATCATAATATGGTTAGAGGTACATATCATTCCTAAATTGTGGTCATGATTCCTTTTACATAGATGTCACTTCATGTCACACATGTTTTTATCAACTTTTTCGTTAATATGATATTTTCATTCTTTTATTTGATCGAGAGACCTGAAATTTTTATGACATATATAACTAATCAAGATCTTTTAGTTCTGAAAGTTTCATCTCTATAACTATGACTAATGATAAAATACATAAGTTTTTCGTACTTGATTTTTGCTGAAAAATGAGGCAAGAATTGAGAGTGAAAACTTATGTATTTCACTTTGATCGATGTAGTTTATCATTAGTCATAGTTATAGAGCTGAAACTTTCAAAACTAAAAGATCTTGATTATTGATACATGTCATAAAAATTACAGTTCTCGCGCTCAATCTCAAAATTGAGTTTTTTTCGAAAAATTGACTTTTCTGAGGGGGGAAGCTTAAAAAGTTGTAAATATCAGAAAAAAACAAGAAAATGCATTTTTAATCGACTTTTTTTTTCAATACTAAGCAATTCTTCATGCTATTCAGTAGATAGTACTCTTAAAAACTAATTTTTTTTTTCATAATCTTTCATGATGATAAAACTATTGTGTTTGCTTCTTTTGAAATCTTCTTTCCCTTGTCGATCTAGAAAATTTCGGTATGGAATGCATTTGATAGAGAGTATCATCAGATACATAAATCATTATTTAGAATTGAGTTAAATTCCATTGTAGCAAAGAAAAATCAAAAATAGATTAATTTTATATTTTTGTTAGAAGAAAAATCCGTACTCCAAAGTTCTGTCAAGAGTATCTTCTATAAACTTGTATCTATTTTAAGTCTACTATTAATATGTGTCATGAATATGATAATTTCAAGTAACTTTATATAAGTCTATCTGACAATAAAGCAGAAATGCTTTATCGTACTTAAACATTTGAGTACCAGTCAAGTACAATGAAGTATTTCGACTTTATTACTAAACAAAGTTATATAAAGTAACTTGACATTATTATTATGCTCGTGACATACTATTGATGATAGTAGGCTTAAAATAGTTAAAAAGTTCTAAAGAATACTTTTTAACATAACCTTGCCAAAGAAACGTTTCGCTTTTTACTCCTTGATTTTTAACTTGTACTATGAATACAATATTTTCTGTAAAATTCTTGATAATATTTTAAATAAAATAAATATATGATAGTAGTAAGCAATAATTCGATCGATGCAAAAAAGAAAAAAATGATTATAAACGTTCGAGTCAAGTATACTATTAAATGCATCATGATAGACTATCAAAATATTCCGAATCCAATGAGATATATATATATTGTGAAGAAAGATCAATGAAATTACTTGACTCAAGATAAAAAAAATTCTTCGTTTCAAATATGAATAGTAAAAGTTTAAAACATATTTAACCTTTAAATTATAAGGAGTAGGATTATAAATTAAGTTTGATTGAATTTAAACACGTCAAAAAGTAGAAAGAAAATTTATTTCAAATGTAAAGAATAAAAAAAAACAACAACAAATATTTCTCATAATTCTCTACTAGAAAAATGTTAGTAAAAGAGACTGTAACAGCAAAAAAAAACATCAATTTTCTGCATTGAAATAATTTCTAAGTCAGAGAACCTATAAAAATATTTGAGTTCATATTCCAAAAGAACACAAAATTCTAATTCTAATTCACTCTTTTTATAATTTCTGCAAATTTTTGAACTATTTAATGACTTACTTATTTTAATAGCAAATCTATTATTAGCGATCATAATTTTTGCACTTAGATCTAATTAAAAGATGCACTATTGTTGTGTACCTTTGAGACGTAGGTCAGAACATCACAAATATTGAAAATATCTGTTTTATTGTATCTTAACATTGTGCTCTATTCAACTTTACATTGACGAGCTTTGCCATCAAATGATTAAAAAATGTCTGAACATTTATATCTTATTATTCGAAATAAATATTATTATTGATGTCATCATGTTTTTCCAATGATAGATAATTTATATTTACAAGAGATAGTGATGTTTCTTTGCATAGTTCTTTGTATATTTGTAAAATAATCATTTATTATCGGTACGTGGTTTTTTTTTGTTTTTCTCTTAAAATTTTTATTTTTATCATCAATGAACAATATTTCTAATCGTTATCAATGAATAACTATGTTCAGTCATAATTTCCGGAAATAAAATATAGATAAGTTTCCTTTTGATTTTGATCTATAGTATTAACAATAGATAAAGATTGGAATAACTAAAAACAGACAGATAGAAGAGTTTTTTATATCAGTACGAGATACTATAAATACACACTTTACTTAAATATTTTTTGAAATTAATTTGAAAATTGAACTATTTCGAAAGAAATATTAAAATTAATATAACGATGATTATATTTAATTGGATAAATTCTTTTTTTTTATATTCGTCATTAAATTAAAGTGTATATGATTCAGTGGCGTACGTAGAAATTTTTCAAGGGGGGGCCCAACTTCGTAGGGGGGAGGGGGCCGGCCATGGCACAAAAAATTTTTTATCACGTGAAAATATTTTTTCCTGTACCCCCCTCCAGGACTTTTTCGTCTCAAGGGGGGGCCCGGGTCCCCTCGGCCCCCCCCTGCGTACGCCACTGATATGATTATACATCCTAATGATATAATGTTGTTGTTTTCTTTTTTTTTTTTTGTTATCTTATAAAATTCTAATCTAATTCTGTTTATTTTATTGAAAAGTGATATAGCCGATCGTTCAGCTGGTCTTCAAATTGAATTATGGGAACGTGGTCAATTTTGGGATAAACTTCTTGGATTATGTCATCTACGTTTAGATCAATATGATGAACAATTAAATACAGGTTTATCTGGTGTTAATGAACGATGGATAACACTTGATGCTGAATTAATATTAAATCGTCAAGGACAAGTAGCAAGAACATGTCATCCAACAGGACATTCAATATTAATTTGTACTCATATTGAATTACCATCTGATTTAACTGAAGAAGAATCAAAAGAAATAGGTGAAAAACTGGAAATTTTACATGATATTCTCGATAAAGAAGTAAATATATATATATATATCGAATATTTTATTCTTCTTCTCTTTACGCCCTTTGGTTTTATCATTTCTTATGTCTTTCTGATAACTTTTTAATTTTCATATGTATTAACTGAGCTCGATGTCAATAACGATCATTTACAGAATGCCGGTGACATTAACAGACCAAATAAGAAATAATGATAAAGAAAAGAGTCTAATCCTAATAATCATCATCGTTATTTCTTTTCTGTTCAATAGAGAACAGGAAGGAGAGGCGAGTCAAGAAAAAGAAGAACGGCGGGAGGGGGGGGGGGGAAAGAAAAGTAATCGCGTTATACTGATGCACGCATATCAAATCTATAGCGTTGTAATAGTCACTATATCTCGATGATCATGACATGTTCAAGTTCACAAAATATGCTTATAGACATCTCTTGAGAGTCATTTTCTTTTTTCTCGAAAAATAAAGTGTTCAAATTATCGTTTTCTTTAAAGGGTCGTCAATTGCAAGATATTACATTTGATGAACTAAATTCAATTTCATCTATTCATAATGATCAACGTGTAAGTTTCTCTTAATCAATTTTTTCATTATCTAGCAAAAACACGAGAAGACGACAATAAATATTAAATAAGAGAAAGAGAAAAAAAAAAAGGAATAGTAAAATTGACACGATCATATTTATCTTTATTTTAAGAAGATCGATAGATGCGCATTGCATGTAAAAAAGCAAAGTCATTTATTTTGCTTGTTTATTTTTCTAAAAAAAAAGAAAATGCTAAACTGATATATTTGAATATTTCATATCTCAAAACGGAATAAATATGTGTCTTTTGCATTTTCTTAATTGAATACATTAGAACTAAAGAATAGAATGATGAAAAGAAAAACAAAAAAAAAAAAAAAAAAAATTTTTTTTTTTTTTACAAGCATTTGCAAGATTAAACGAAGAATGTAAGCTACGTTTTTTTTTTTGTCATCAATTTTCAGTATTGATAAATTTTGTTAATTAAATAAATGAAATTTAAATTTCTAAACAGAAAGAATATTATCGAAATTGCTCAAGACTTTCAAGTGATGAGCTAAAAAAACAAATAATTTTAATTGAAAATAATATAAATTATCAGATATGTATTGAAGCCGCCACGATTACGAGAAGGAGAAGTTTGATCAGAAAAACTTGATCGAATTTGACAAAATATAGTTACAGGATTGTAGTCAATCAAAAAAACTAACATAAACATTGAAACACATCGAAAGAAAAAAAAAAAGACAATTTTTTGTAAAATTGCTAAGAAGTCATTCGCTCGGAACACTCTGATAAATAGCGATGACAAATTCTGCAATTTAAAAATTCTTCAAGAACAAAAATCTACAATTTCTTAATTAAATAGAGAAGAAAAAAAAATAAGTCACGCAAAATCTTTGTTTCCTTTCTCTAAATTGATTTTATTTATAGAAACTATGCTAATATCATGCATTAGATTTTAAGATAGGTATCTTCATTTGATGTTTTCTATATAAGACTTCAGTATGTTTTATCAAATTTTTTCGAATTTATTATAAATATTATCATTGACTATGAAAACTACAATGATACATTGATAGATTATTTACGTAAAATAATTATTTTATTTAGAAATTTTACTAGAAACAAACCTAGAAATTAAATTATTTATTGCATGAAGTCATAGCGGAACTCCATAGGCTGAGGTGATGATGAACTAATGAATTAATTTGCGCAGTTATCTTTCTTATTGTCATCATCATTTCTCATTCTCACTTCCACCTTCCAACTTAAATCGTTTGTTCCGTCATGACTTCAAGCAACTAATAATTTAATCTCTATTTTTTTTTTTCATAATAATTTTTAAATATAAACGTTCTTTTATGATGATAATCTATTGAGGCTTAAGTGTCTAGAAGACTCAAATGTCGAGGTTCAACTGTGTTGTCACTTTATACTAGATATTCTTTTCATTTTAGTCAAATAAAATCTCTGAATAAGTCTTTTTTATTTTGTAAGTTAAATTCATTCGCTATTTAATATATTCTCTAGTGTTTATTTTCATAGTTCTTTTGCTTTGCTTTTTTAGTTATTCGAGATCTTTTCTTGGCGACAAATTTGAGATTTTTTTTTTCATACTACAATCTACATAATTCCGAGCATTTTTCTTTTAATCTTTTCTTCAATTAGATCGAGAATCTAGACTATTTCAATATTCATGCGTAAGTTAAACAGAAAAAAATCTAATAAGATTATTTAGTTGGTTGATCGAAAAAAATTTTTTTTTCTGCGCTACGAAACTATAGATCAATTGAAAGTAATCGAATAGAATTCATCTCTAGTCAACGAGGAAATATATAAATTTTTTTAAATTAAATTAAAAAATTTTGTGTTTTCAAATGATAAATAAAATATTAAACAAAAAAAATTGTTATGTAGAAAATAATTTTTTCAAAAATAGTTTATTAAAAGTCAACATAAATAAAAAAAAGAAAACTTTTACAATGTATTCATTTATGCGTCTAATATAAAAGTTTATTATCTATGAATATGCAATGCGAAAAATAAGCGAAAATTCTCTCAATCAAGATTATAGTCAAAAATATCATTTAGAATTCTTTAGATATTTCAAATCTACTATCAATATATATTAGTTTCATACACTTTATATAAGCATTTATGGTAATAAAGTTCAAAATATTTCAATACCAATGAGTTACGATAAACTATTTAAATTTATATCAGATGAACTCAAACTAATATGCTCTTGATATATATATTGATTATAGACTTAAAATAAAAGATATCTTTAACATAACTTTGGAGTATTGAATCTTCGCTTTAATCTCGTATTGTTAATAATAATATTTCTTAATTAAAAACTAGAATTCAATAGATATATATATGTATCGATCAGAGATGGACAAAATCGCACCGCGCCACTGCTCGCGCCTAGGCGCTACGCACATCTCTCTTTCTCTTTGCTCTACCAATCAGTTTCTCAAACTCCACCAAATATCGGGATGCTCTAAGCATGCGCTTATCAAAGCTCAGACTAGTGTAGCGTAGGCGTGAGCAACGGCGCGGTGCGACTTTGTCCATCTCTGGTTGTCAAAGTATTTTCTGTATATATTAAAGAAATTTAATCAATGTAATTAGTACTGAATTTTCAGATAGATAAAAAGAATTTTTACATGATAATTTTTTTTTTCAAGGCCAAAAGTAGGTAAATCATATACATTCAAGGTTAAAGCAAACTGATTGTCATAGATTTTAAGAATTCTAGGATTCATGAGTCGTTTTTTTTTTTTCTTTGTTGCAATTATTATTTTAAAAAGTGTAATATTATTTACATTTGAGAAAAACAAATGTTTGTAAATCATTATTTTAAGAATTAACATGTATCGAATTTTGGTACATTCGTAACATCTATTAACAGATAATTTTATTCAAGCAGATTGTTATATTTATTTTCTATATTGACAAACCAAAGATTTTCTTTTTTTTTTGTTACTAAAAATATTTATCTTTTTTTTTATCGATGATAAAAATTCATGATGTAATGGAATTTATATCTAAAAGTAAATAGGCAGAGATTTTGTAATACTAAATTTAATATTTATTTCATGTAATGATTGGTGAGTGGTTTACGCATTTTTTCATACAGGTAAAATATTTAAATTCATAGATTTTATTTTTTTTTACTTCATTAAAATAAATTTTCATTACATATGAAGTTAATTTTGTTTTTTTTTGATTGACAAAATTTTCCTTAATAATTATTCGAAAAATTTCTCTTTACTATTTTTATCTAAAAGATGTTACAGTATTTTATCCATGTCACACGTTTTTTTTTTTCGTGCTACCATTAATATAATGAGAGTAGATTGTTAATCAGAGAATAACCAATCGTTGAAGTATCAAACTATCATCGATATAATGTAACGATTTATTAGGGTTTTTTAACTGATACGAATGACATGATTAATTAGAAAATTCATTCATAATATTTGCAACACCAGTTATAACTCATGAGAAACACTTCACTACAATAAATACTTAAGTGAAAAACAATTTTCATGATACTTCTAATCGAAGAGGTCGTTAGAGTTATGTGGCTATGTTGTTCAGTATATATTCAATAAGTACTGTGTTCAAATCTCGGTACCATTAGTAGTGAATTGATCCTAGACAATTCACTAACGGCTCTTTGTTTCAGATCACCTGTCCGATAGCATGCTGATTAAGTTGTAAGTATGTACGAAGGATTCAGGTCTACAGTTACTATTCAGTTATATGAAAGGTATCAAACTAATGAATCTACCGGTTAGTAGTACGACGAAACCGGAAGGTAGAAGTATTGTTCGTCTTCTTCTTGTAATCGAAGAAAATTTAATAATTTTTACATTGGGCTTGAACAAACAAAATACATGAAAGAAAAATTATTTTTGAGATAATTTTATTCGTTAAAATTTACTATAAAATAAAAATTAGTTTTCTTATAGCAATGCATAAACGGAAATTGATTCTATAGTGAAAAACAAAAAAGTTATGACTAACATTTTCTTCTCTTTTATTTTAATTATGAAGCTCATAGAAAAAAAATGTTAGCCCAATCAAATCGTATTGTGTGAAAAGAATTATACACAACAGGTAGAAATCCTTTCATCAATAGTAAGAAATAATATTTGCTATATTTCCTCTCTGTCTTTAATAGTCCCAATGAGTTCTTAATGAATCACCTTCAATATAATATGCCTATACATTTTAATTTATAGACATATATATTTTTAGAATCCTCCACATTATCAACAATTGAGTAATCGTTCTCATTCACATTGTAAGTATTTTTGATATAAACCGACTTTCAAAGTAAAAAAAAATTCTAATTTCTATTTAGTTTCGGATGATAGTGATTATACATCGGATGTATCATATTCAATAAATTCTCAAGTTAATATAAATAATCCAGTTTCATCAATGTCTCAATCAAATCCTATATCATCAATCAATGATGATTTACTTTCAACAGGAACAACTAAAAAACCATTAGCATTTGTTCAACCAGTTATACGTGATTCATCAGGACGATTAAATCATGGTTCAATAGAAAAAACAAAATCTTTAACTCAACAAGAACCATTATCATATGTTAGTCAACCAAGAAAAATGACAAAACAATTTTCTTATGACCAAAAGTAAGTTAATCAATTTCAAAATAAAAAAATAAAATAAAAGATTTTGTTTTTTTTGCTTCTTCTTAACATTATTTTTTGTCTATACACTATAATTAGAAAAACAAAAGAAAAAGAAAACTAATAAATCAGGTAAACTATATTTTGCTGCTCATGCTGCATGCGATCAGCACTAAATAAAAACAAAACTACGACACTTGTGTTCGTTTTTTTTTTTCGCAATTTCAAAGGGAAATTAATTTGCACATTAACCCTGCATGTTAAATATATATATATATACACACATATATATATATATTTAAGAAGCTTTGTTTTTTTTTTTGAAATTAAATAATAATCATTACACTAATGTTATGTAGAACTTGAACATAGAAAAACAATACTTTTGTGTCTTTAGCTTAAATGTAAATGTGTTAATTCACGGTCAATTGAAGAATTTAAGAAAGAAAACTTTGCATGTCTATTAATGAAAAGAAAAAGAAATTGTGAATAATATCGGTTGAATAACATTAATCCCTTTGGAGAAATCTAACAATAAAAGAAAGAAAAAAAACGTTTTTAATAATATTAAACATTCTAATAGAGAAATATTGAACTGGATTTACTTAGTATTTTGTTTTTTTTTTTTATTATGTATTCAGTGACAACGTGCTACGATTCATATTGAAAATTGCGTATGATTTAATAATAAAATGGGGAATATCTGTCATTATAATCATCACGTAGAAATATATGCCAACAAGTCTTTCTATTATGCATTTAGTTATTCTGCATAGATAAACAGTTTTAATTTATCATTAAATGTATTTATTTTATGCATATACATGTATAAGTGAAAGAGAGAAAAAAAGAATTTTTTTTTCTTCTTTTTTTATAACGATTAAGTCGTTTTCCTCGCTTTTTGTTTTTTTTTGTTCTACTACCTTATAGATTTCGGTTTATTCTGATTGACTTATCTAAATATAGAAAGAAATGAATGCCATTTAATTATCCGAGATTTTTTTTATCTATGTTTGGAAAAAAACAAGAGAGAGAAACAGATATATGATCTTGCTCTTGGTCAAAAAGAAGAGCATACTAAAGAAACAAATGAAAAACGAGACCAAGTCCTGTTCTATTGACTACTTTTCAATAGAAAGACAAACACAAAAGAAAAAAAAGGAGAAAGCGTAAAAGAAAAAGATTTAAGCAACACTACTCGTCGAAATAAATACAGAAAGAAAAGAGAAAAGACTGGAAGACGAAGAAAATCAATGTCGTTTTTCTAATTTATTAATGAGCAAATACGCATTCTTGCATTCTCACCCTCCTTCTTCTTCTTCTCTTCTTCCTTGTCATTGCCTTGAAGACACGATAGGATACAAGACGATAATGACGAGAATACTGCGTCGAATCCCGTGCCGAAAGAATCTGTCGTTTTTTTTGTTGAATGTGTATTACGAGTGAAGAAAAACTCAGAACGAGAACGACAGTAAAGCGTGTTCCTGGTGTTTCTCGTTCTTGTTCACCATGTTCGGATGGTTGCGTGATTCTCTTACCAATACTTCCTCTTCTCTATATCATCATCATCATTCAATGATACCATCTCCGTATTTTTGTCAACAACAACAACAAAATCATAACAAAAACCAAATATCTACACCATCATCATCAGATGATAGAACAGATGATGAATCTAATAATAATTCATTTTATCATAATCCATATCATTCGAGTGGACAAATGAATTATGTTGATGTTCCACAACAACAATATACTAATGAACATACATATCCAACATATGTTGCACAACAACAAACATCCGATATAACCAATCAATCAATTGATGATCAAATTCATGCTAAATTACTATTATTACAACAACGTGGAAATCAATTTCAACCTCATTTACATACACCATTTCATTATACCTGTCGACCTCGAACATTATCAACACATAGTTCATCATTAATTCCAAACACAGATAGAGAGATAACTAATACAAATGAAGAAAAATTCGAAGAAAAAGATAACGATGATGGTAATGATGGTGATGATGACAATTGTAGTATACCTACTTATTATTCTGGTCAATATTCAAATTTCGATGAACATTTTGATTTTGCATCTGTTGTTCTATGGTATCGAAATGTGATGCGATCTGTCAAAAAAATTATGTGAGTGAAAAATACAAATATATAGCAAAATAAGAAAACTGCTTTGCTTAAATCTTCTATTAATAGATTTCGTTGTTCTCATTTCTTTATTTTTTCTTTTTCTTGAATGATCTTGACCTATTATTTATTTCCTTCATATTATAACTATACGCATACAATCTCGTCACTATTCATCTTTATATCAGATGAATAACTTCTCCTTTTGAGTTGCCATCAAATATTTACGGTTAAGTAGTTTTATTTCAATGGTTGATTTCAAAATATTTGGTTGAATGGTTTAATCTTTTAGATACATGAAAGGTTTCATGTTCGAATCTATAATAAGGATACAAAATGGCACGTGTATCGACTTGAATTCATATAGTTGATAGCACTACTTTTGTAATCCGAAATTAAAATTTAATATTCTTTGCAACATTCACCTTTGATTATATTCAAATGTGAACTACTTATAAGAGTAACAGATGAGAACTTTTATTTACAGGAAAAGAATTCATCGAATGATTAAACACAAAAGAACCTTTTTATTCTCTTTGTTAAGAGTTTTTCCGACAATATTAAAATTACCATTTTTTTATGAAAAAAAAAAAAGAATGTCGCTATGATATTTTTTTTTTTTTAAAAAGAAAACAAGATAACTAGAATTCTTCTAACAAATAATAAGATAAATGAGGAAGTTAATTTTAGAATTAGTGTAAGTTAATAAAACTTTTCAGTATTTAGAAAAAATTGATACTAATAATAACACTAAAATTAAAAGAAAAAAACATAAATTGTTTGGAAATAATTTGCCCGTTGAATGATCAAACTTTGAAGATCTATTATGTTTCATACAGTTTTAACTTAAACGATCAAAAAATAGAATCTATATTTGACATATCTAATTATTTACGTTTATTAATCTTATTCTTGATATAATAAATATTGAATTAGAAAAAGTCTAGATTCTAGAAAGTTTTGTTTTTTTTTGTTTTCTCTTAATTTTTATACGTGTAAAACAATAAAAGAAAGAAATAGTTGCGCAGAAATGTTTTGTTTTGTTGTTTTTCTTTTTCTTTAAAAATAAACTTTCAGATTTCGCATTAAAATAAAAATATGGTATCAAAACAAGAAATAATAAAAATAAATGGAATATTAACACATATTTACCAATTAGGTAATCCATTATTATCATCAAAAAGTATCGTAATTATTCCTGGTAATCCAGGTCTTGGTGGTTTTTATATACCATTTGCTCATGAACTTTATAATTTATTCAATGAAAATATCTCAATATTAATTATATCTCAAGCAGGTCATAGTCCACCATTAAAATATTGTTTTACATTAAATGAACAAATAGAACATAAAATGAAAACAATTGAAAAAGTTCTTCCAATAAATAAAAATCATCGATTAATATTAATTGGTCATTCAATTGGTGCATATATGGTTTTAAATATGCTTGATAAATTTCAAAATAATTTAGATCGAGCTTTTTTTCTTTTTCCAACAATTGAACGTATGAAAGAAAGTAATGCAGGAAAACGTTTTATACGTTGGTATTCAATATTAATTTATTTATTACCATTTTTATGTTTTATTATTAATTTATTATTTCCATTTAATTGTTTAAAAAAAAAATTAATATCATATTATTTTTCAAATTCACCATTAGATGATCGTTCAATATTAATTGATACTGTTTTATATGATTTATTAAATCCAATAACAATAAAAAATCTTTTACAAATGGCAAATGAAGAAATGTTTGTTGTTAGAAAACGTAATGATAAAATAATAAAATGTTTTATTAATAAAATAACATTTTATTATGGTACTAATGATCATTGGGTACCACATGATATTGTTAAACAAATGAAAGAAATATATCCTAAAGGAGATATTATTGAATGTACTAATAGATATTTGCATGCATTTGTTTTAAGACATTCGAAAGAATTAGCTAAAATTGTTTTTGATAGAATTGATTAACTTTTTTTTTTTTCTTCAAAATAAATTTAACTTTTTTTTTGTTTTTCTTTTTGTAGTCCAAGTGGCAATCCTCATTTTGTTCATACGGAATTCGATGAATCAAATAATCATCATTATACAATAAGTAGTCAAAATCCTTCAACTCACACCCAAGATAATACTTCATTGAATAATGTTAATGATAAAAATAGTACTTCTTTCTCAGCTTCGAAAATAAAATGGCTTGAAGCTGTTCGAACTGTTAAACAATTAAATCAAGTAAGATTAGTATTTTCATTATGTTTTATCTATTATGAAGAACGATTACTTGAAATACTTATTAATTCATTTTTTTTTTGTGTTCTGAACAGTGTGAAACTATATTAGTGTCTCATTTTAGGGTAATTTGCAAGTGACAAAATAGTAGGCTGTGTGGGTTGTAAAATTGTTAGAGTTGATATACTCTTTTTGACTTATAGAAACTTTCTATTTATCGAATTCGTTTTTTTTTTTTTAATCTATTTTATATTCATATATTCTAATAATATAAAGTTAATCATAACACATTTTCAGCACAAAAACTATGTAATCTAGAAAACAAAGTTAGTAAAACAAAATGATGAATGTTCTAATAAAATAATTCCTAATGGAAAAGAAAACTGTTCGTTATGATCTACAGTGATGATTTCTACACTAGATTAATCTTAAAAATACTTAATCAAATAATTGTTTCCTGAGATTCTTAACAAAAAAAAAAAAACATCATTAACATATTTATTTAAATCAAAATATTAATTTTTTGTATGATAAGAACATCATCACATACGAGAGGTGATTCAATGTTGCATTTACATTTATTATTTAATAATACACATGAATATATAACTAGAAATTCTAGTGTAACTGAATCACATGTTAATTATTTAATTATCATTAAAAGTCTTTTGTTTTTATTTATTTAAAATTTGTATTAATTATTCATTGAAAGAAATTTATAAGACTTTAAAGTTAGTCATGAAGGAAAAAAAAAACAGAAGATTTTATATATATCAAAAAAAAAAAAATTTTTTTTTTTCATGATAAAAATGATGCATACACAGCTGTGCCCGTACGATTTACTTGTTGACGCTTCCATTCAGTATATCAATGTATATACTTCAATAATTGAGATTTTCGTCATTTAATAAATCATCAATTGTTTATGGACGATGTTTTTTAACAGCTGTTGCTTTTTCTTCTGTGTTATTTTTTTTTCGTTTCTATGATAAAAAAGAATATCGAGGTAAAAGAAAAAAAGATTTTCTTTTCTATTCTCAATTCATTGATAAATACTCGATTCACTGCTGTTACAAATATCATATATGGAAATAATGTATTCAAATCCAAACTCACGATCAAATTCAATTGTTAAATTATTTCGTCGTCGTTCAACAGCAACAACATCAGGTGTTGGAGAAAGTTTATATGGTGATGATTTAGAATGGGATAAATCAGATTTTACAAGACATTTACCTGAATCAGATGCATTATCATCTTATGATGTTAATGAAATGGCTGAAATATTACGTAATCGTTTTCTTGAATTTGATATGTCATCACAAATAGATGGACATAATAATACACCTTCACGTCAATCATCATTTATAAGTGATGTATTGACACCAATGACAAATTATGATTTTACAATTGAAGAATTTCTTAAAACAAATTCAACAATATCTACTAAAATAGCATTTGATATTGAATCATTATATGAAACAAAAATAATAAAACAACCATTTCATAGAAGTTTAATAAATTTAAATATAAAAAATCAAGAAAAAACTATACTTTCATCAAAACATTTATCATTAATGGATATAACATCAATTGAATGGACATTTTTAAAACATGCAACACCACGTGCACTTTTATTAACAAAAGCAAATTATCGAACATCATTTAGTGAATTACCACAATCAATGGAACCTGAACCAGAACCATATTTATTTGATACAAAAACAAGTTTAAATTATTCACGTTTATCTCGTTTAGCTATGATTCGTTTATATATGACAAAATTAAGAGAAAAAGTTCTTTCATTTGTTTTAGAAACTATTCAACCATTAAAACGAACACCAATGCCAATTATTACAGAAGAAACTATTGAAACATATGATATTATTGAAGAATAATATAATCTCAATATTCATTTATTCAAGACATTTGTGATATAATCATAAATTTTGTTTTCTTTTTATTAAACGCCTATTATCGTGGTTAACTTGAGAAAAAAAAAGAGAAAAAAAGAAAGGTTAAAGATTCTTTAATGTATTTAAAAAAAAAAACAAAAGCATTTTAAGATATTATATTTTGTTTTTTTTCAATTCTCATAACAATTCAATTTGAAACATGATCAATGTTTCATCTTATATTGATTTACGCATTAGCGATTTGTCAAACGTTCATATATATATATATATATCTCGAAATATTTATCATCAATCATATATTATTTTTAATGATTTCATGATTGATAATATTCATAATAATTCTTAGATTATATCGTCTATTAAAAAAACGTTAAATATATCTGTCTTATAGACCTATCTATTTATTTTGATTGATGAATTAGATTAATATCTCGGTGAATCTATTGTAAATCATTAGATTTAATTTTCTTTTTTTTTCTGTCATTGAGATTCATAATAACATATGACCTTCAACCAATCAAATCAACATCTATTCACTACATTGGAATTTTATATTAAAATCCCATAGGATTTTTGTTAATAGTTCTTTTTTCTTCGTATGATTAAATAGATAAAAAATTCATGAAATGTTATTAAATGGATAAAAAATATTTTTGCAAAATATCGATATAACTTCTAAAAATGTTAATAGATGTAAAAATAAATAATTCTTTTAGTACTTTTATGTATTGATTTTATCCAAGGCTTTTATTTTTTTATTCTATGTGCCTTCCAGTTTGTTATGTTCTATTATTAATCGTTTAGAAATAGACAGATAAATATGTTAAGAACTTTCCAGTTGACGTCACAAATAAATCTAATCAACAACTAAAAGAATCCAATTGACTGTTAATCTTTTATATATCGTTTACAATGAAGTATTAAAAAAGAAATCCTAACTTAAAAAAAACATCAAATAACAATATTTGCGTGATGAATTTTATTTTTCTTAATAATAATTAATAGTATCCAATGTTTTTTGTTTTGTTCTATTCATTTAATAGTCTAGTATCTTTTATTTAGTCTATTGATTATTTTTTTTACTATATATAGTCGTATTAGCACTAATAAGAAATCATTGCGTGATCTAATAGATGTCTATTAAGATAAAGATTATAGAATAAAATAGAAACAATTTCTTTTCAGGTACTTTGCTTTTTTTTCTTTATTCTCTTGTTTTGGAAAATAATAAGAAAAAGAAACAAAAAAAAAAAAAGATAAGATGTTATTCTAAGCGAACATCCATCATAATAATAATAGAGATCGATGATATGTATTATATATGTTGTATACCAATTTGTCCTTCGTTTCTATCTAATGTTGATGTTTATTCATCTGATAAAAATATTTATCAAAAACCAAATTTTATGCTTCAAGAAAAATTTTATTCATATGTTAGTCGATTTGATCGATATTTTCATTTTTCTGATAATGAAAAAAATTATAATAAAGATTTTGATGAAGAATTTGATTTAATTTCTCTATCAGATAATGAAAATGTGAGTTATAAAATTTTCTTTTTTTTTGTTTTTTGTTTAGAAATATTTAATTTATATATAAGTTATTAATTATTTTTATTATAGAATTCTCATGAAAAATTCAGTGATCAAGTATCAAAATTAAGACAAAATTCTTTACTTAATGCAGATGGATCACCAAATACAAGAAGATTATTACCAGGAATTACAAGTATTAATAACAATTCTAATAACAATATTGACAATAATGGAAAGTATGTTAAATTGATCTTAATGATAAACAATTTTCAGTTTTTTTTTTCCTAATAACTCTATCGATAAAGATATACGGATATATTTGATTGATTACATTATTCGAATCTTAATCTATACACTCTCAATGTTTATTCTAAGTTATTTCATATAGCATGTTAACCTTGCAAATACTTATGTTGTTATTTGTATTACAGAATGAATGTCGAGGATGTATACAATGACATATGATGCCTAGTTTGTTGGTACTCTTTATCAATAGGCTTTCTGTTTTTTTTTTGTTATTGTCTTATTCTGATGAAGGAATCGTCTAATCTTGATAAATTTTGTACTTTTCGTATTCTAATGATCTTCATAGAAAAAGAATTAGAAATCTTCTTTAAATCCTTGGAGACTAAAACGACGAGCTTATTTATTCCCTGAATACGAGACCATTCTCTCTTTCATTTATATATATTTTTTTTCTCTCTATTTTTGTTATAACTAATAACTAGAACAAATTTGATCATCAGATGATGATACGCACGATTTCTGAGAAAGAAAAAAAAAACATCAATTTTCATTTAATAAAATTAATCTTTTCATACTATTAATCAAATATTGATAATAACGTGACTGTGACATAAAGGTATCTAGAAAATTCTTAAGCAACAAAGATTATTATGGATTGTTTTTCAATATTGTATTCTTTGTTTTTTTAATCAAATCGATATACTTATATATGTATTATTATTATTATGAAGAATTGTTTATTTTTAAATAAAGAAAAATCTTTGATAAATTCTCAATTTTCTTTATTAATAAGCAAGTAGTTAGACATATCCTATAGGATAAAACAAGCAAATAAAATTATTTTATTTCATTTATTTTTTTATTTTATTTTTTTAGTTCAATATCCGGTGAACAACAAGGAAATAATGCATTTTATAATTGTATTGATAGTACACCAGATATACCTGATGGAAAAACTATTCCATTAGGTCTTGATATGGTAAATAAAATAAATAAAATTTCATTAAATTAATGATTCTATTTAGGGTATATCACCTGCTAAACGATC